GTATGCGTGCAGCCCGCTGCCTCTCCTCAAGTGTCGGCTCCCTTCTTCCCTGGTTTTCCTCAGGCTGCCACTGTTCGATTTCTCCCAATCGGCTCAAATAACTCTTCTTTTTTTTCTTTTCTTTTTGCCAAACGAGCCCATCCAGTTTTCAGGACAGGCTCCATGACTTACAGGACACTTCGAGGCCCTGGAAGAAATTAAAATTGGGGGCAGGGTAGGGAGGATTCTATGAGCAGAGCCAGGAGAAGAGAGATGTTTACAAAACAGAAGCAGAGAGAACAGCATGCTTGTGATTCAAGCTCCAGGAGAGAGCGGAAGCAGGCAGGGTCAGAGGCAGGAGAGGCCCGGCTTGCAGCGGCCAGGGCCAGGGCCGTGCCTCCTCTCCCTGGTGCAGGGCTACCCACGATCACCTGCAGGCCCCCGGCTCGCTCGCTTGCTGGCTCGCTCGCACTGGGTGAAGTGTTCTTTCCCCTTAAGAGGACCACAGGTAATTGCAGGGCAACCTGCACCGCACTTCACAAGATGGAGATGATGAGGTATTTCTCAGTAACCACGGGTCGGTGTGATTTCGTAATTACCGAGCTATGCGGATTTGCCATGAAATTGAATAGTTAAAAGCAAAGAGTAATTGCCTGATATCTGTACTCTGTAATTTAGTATAATCTAATCATGGACAAAGCCCAAAAGAAAACATTCTGAAAGCATTACATTTTTCTTCATATACAATTTGTTATTGACATCGGGTAATGCGTTCCATGCCTCAAAAGGAACCATTACGCAGATATCAAAGGGTGAATGCGCCGGAGAGTGAGCGTTTTGTTTAATTTCTAACAGATTGTGAAAAGCAGGTGGCAGAGAGGCCCACTGAGCCCTGGCCTGGCACTTCCCAGGGACTCTGTTGGCCTCGTCTGACTCCACCCCCAGACCTGGAGCGAGGTGAGGAGGGGGACTCCTCTCACACAGGCGCCAAGGTGGGCACCGCTGCTGCACGTCCACAGGAAGCCCAGAAGCTGGGCAAGGGGGTGCACGGCAGCATCCGGGGCGGCTGGGGCAGGAGGACTGCAAGTGTGAGCCCAGCCTGGGCAACTAACAAAACTCTATTTCAAAATCTAATAACAACAACAAAAAAATGTTTATAGAGTTGAGGGTGTAGCCCAGTGTGAAGGTCCTGGATTCAATCTAGTAGGACTGAAAATTTTAAAAAAGAAGGCAAGCAAGCAAGTAAACACAAAATAGCAAAAATCCCATGAGAGGTGGCCCAGGACAAGTGCCCAGGTCCCCATTCCTGTCTGGAAGCAGGTATGTGCACAGGGCTTTTGGCAGGAAGAGGAGGAGAATGGAACCCACTAAAAGATTTATGGGCATTATTATTATAAGACTCTGCCGAGGCAGGGAGAGGCCAGCAGGAAGGAAGGCAGGAGAACCAAAGGGGCTCCCGGCAGCCCCTGGCTGCCACTAAGTGCATGGATGTGGTTACTAAGTAGATGGAGACCCTGCAGCCTGTGCTTCCTCTTTAGCCTTTAATAAATCTGGAAGCATGACCAGCCAGAGCCGCTCGCCTTACAAAAAGACAACGCAGAGTGATAAGAAAGGCTCCTGCCCAGCCGCCTGTAGGATCTCTCTTTGCTCTGAAATGTGCCTGCCCCACAAACAGGCCCCACGGGGCAGCCACTCTGAAAATGGAGCAGGGCCTCAAGGGTCTGAGAGCTTGGGGATGGTTCCAGCCTAGGGAGGCTAAGGAGAGGCCGGCTGAGCCTCCCACAGAAATGAGGATGCTAAGGAGAGTCTGGCTGAGCCTCCCCAGGGTGATGAGGATGCTAAGGGGAGGCCGGCTGAGCCTCCCAGGGAAATGAGGATGCTAAGGGGAGGCCGGCTGAGCCTCCCAGGGAAATGAGGATGCTAAGGGGAGGCCGGCTGAGCCTCCCAGGGAAATGAGGATGCTAAGGGGAGGCCGGCTGAGCCTCCCAGGGAAATGAGGATGCTAAGGAGAGGCCGGCTGAGCCTCCCAGGGAAATGGGGATGCTAAGGGGAGGCCGGCGGAGCCTCACAGGGAAATGAGTGTGGCACAGAGGGAAGCACAAACTGCCAACTCCACTGAGATAAGTACAGGGCCTCCTCAGGAACAAAGGTAGGTGGGCGGGGAAGAGCCCGTATACACTGAAAGATCAGATGGGGGGCACACGCTCTGGGTGGTGAGCAGGAGGAACACGAATTCAAGCTCAGCCCCAGCAACTTGGTGACTTAGCAAGCCCCCCCCAATACAAGAGCTAGGCCTGCAACTCAGCGTGAAGGCCCAAGGTTCAATCCTAGTACTGGAAAACAATCTAGAGAAGACGCAGGACTCGAGCATTGAGCTCAAGAGGGAAAAGGAAGGCCAAGACCGGGAAGCAGGCAGCTTTGATCTGTGGTTTCTCCCACAGGACAGGCAGACCCGCTGCAGATGTCCCTTCAGACCCAGAAGGTGAGCCACAGAAGCCACCTCGCAGGCAGCAGGGTAACCTGGATGCCTAAAGGCTACTGCTACACACTTCTGGGCCCCAGGCAGAGACAGGTCAACTGGGGGAGGGCAGTGGGCTATCTGGCCTCACACGCATACAGCAGTGTCCCTGACACAAGGGGGGGGGACAGGACCCCCTGCTGTGTACCACCTTGGGGGTGGCGCCAGGCTAGTGTACGTGCTGAAAGCACCCCGAGATCCATTGTGAAGAAATGGGCCTCCGCTCTGTGAATGCTGCTGCGCTCACTTTGTTTAAGCATCAGTTTCAGGCCTTCTTAGAATACACAGGGCCGGTATTGACGCCGAAAGGCTCATTCTTTCTATATTGAACTGCACAGCTGCAAGGAGTTGCACAAATGTTACCAACTCATTTGTCATGCAAACAGTGCTTCGGAAAGAAATAAAATACTATTATGTGGTATGTGTGTTAGGCAATCACTATATCAAATCCGTGGCATTCTGTGCAAACACAGGCAGAGGAAAGGAAAACAACACTTGGTGAGAGAAATCGCACCACAAGGGAGCGGCGAAGTCAGGGGACCTGGAGCCCGAGGCTGTAATTTTCCCAGCGACGTGGCCGGTGTGTGCTGAATGCCCCGAGGTGGAGAAAGGCAGGTGGGCAACACTCCGCCGGAGAGAGAAGCAGGTCCAGGAAGAGGAGTGACGGGGGCGCGGGGCTAAAGCCGCAGGAAGACCCCGAGAGGAAGGGGCCTGGCAAGAGGGAGAAATGACAGGAGGGCGGACGTGCTGGGGGCCGCGAGCGTGTGCGGTGGCTGAGGATGTGGAAGGAATGGGAAGAGGGGCGCGAGGGGGAAAGAGCTCGGCTTCATTGCTACCGCCTCCCCTCTTCCCCTAAGCGCTTCCGGCTAAGAGCCTCCCTGCAACCAAATCACCTGCCCTGTGGGAGGCTCCGCACAGCCCTGGCCGCCAGGATTAGGGTTAAGCATAAACCGGGAGGAGCCTGTGCCAGGCACGTCCCAAGCACCTTCCGCAAATTACCTCTTCTAATCCTCAGGGCGGCCAGGTGGGTTCACTGGCAAAGAGGCTAAACGTGCTAACTGGATTCGATCACACGTCTCGGAGCTGAAGAGTCAGGACTAGAAATCAAACTGGCTCCAGAGCCCACATCCGCCCCGCAGCGACGGCAGCCAGGTGTGGGAGCCCCGGGCCCCACGCACCCCTGTCCGCTGAGAATTCCACCCCAGGCCGCCGGCCTCCGACCGCGGCTTCTCCGCCGGGTGCGGGCTCGCCCTGCAGCTGCAAGGCCGCTGCTGGTCAGGAAGACAGGCCCGGCGGGCCGGCCCAAGGGAGGTCCCAAATAAAACCGGACTGCGCATCGTCTCCAGGCCGAGTGACAAATGATCGCGTCCCCCAACTCGGTGGCGGCGTATCTCTACCCATTAAGCGATTCACCCATTAAATCAACATGAATTTATGGAATGCCCACCACATGGCGGGGACAGCGCTTAAGGTGCAGGATTCAAGGATAAACCCCGCCAGGCCTACCACACCAGCGAACGGAAGAGAGGCGGAGCAAGAGGAGATAAAAAAGCCCCCGCCCCCCAAAAGAAACCCACGGCCGGACCTTCCCAATATGGCGGCCCCAACGCCGCGTCGGACCTCCTCACCATGGCCGACCGTCGCGGCCGCCGACCTCCCCAACATGGCGCCAGCGCCGACCTTCTCGTCATGGCGCGCGGCCCCGCCCGCCTGCCGCGGTCGCCGGCGGGAGCAGTTCCGGGTGCGCGGCGCGCCGGGGGCGGCGTCCTGGCCATGGCCGGTTTGTCGGACCTGGAGCTGCGGCGGGAGCTGCAGGCCCTGGGCTTCCAGCCGGGACCCATCACCGACACCACCCGGGACGTCTACCGCAACAAGCTGCGCCGCCTGCGCGGCGAGGCCCGGCTGCGCGACGAGG